AAAAAAAAAATGTATCTCATAATTCGATAGAACTCACCAAAACTAGCTCACCACCGCAAACCGTTTCTTGCTGTGAGCTCCCTACGTTTTATAAAAAATTATTGAAATCCCCGATTTTTCGGACCTCTGAAAACGAGGCGATGATGTGACGTCAAAACCCTAATACTGAAACAAGACTATTCCAGACATAGATGAATGATACATGATTTCTGACAGAGTGAATTAGCGCGAGATCACGGTTGAAAGAATTAATATATCAGTTCCCTCAGTCTCCGTCGGGCGTTTGGTATTTTCTTTCAACTATGGCGAGATGAGGTTTCTACGTCATTAGAGGGTCCGTTTTCAGAAGGTACTATTATTTATGTTCCAGAATAGTTGGTCGAAAACATCACGATTGAAATGAGTAAGACTTCCTCCATCTTCCAGGAGTAGAAGAACTGAAGATGATTGGCAAATACAACAGGTCATAGAAGATGAAGATGAATCAGTAGAAGTTATAACCATCATTTATGTAGATCATTTACGTACCTACCTATAGTACCCATACATGCCCAGTTGAAAAATTACCCATTTGACAGTACTGATATTATTATATTTTATACTTCTATTGTAATTGACTCGATTTGAACTAAACATACTATATATTTACTTATAGTAGAATGATTCCTTCAATTAATCCATTTTCACAAACATTCTCATCTGCACCATCCAATTTACCTATAGTACCTATCTACATAGCATTTTTGAGAAATGTTCATAACATTTATAATAGGTAGGTACCTATCAAGATCAAGATTATTGAGATTTCATGAAGGTGCATATACCTATTACCTTATACCTGTCATAGGTACAGATTTTAATCAATGTGATGAGTTGTTGGGTGGAAATTTCATTTGATTTATTCATTTTATATATATATACACTTTGTACTTCCTTCCTCAATGATCCAACCTCTTCATTGTGCAAGATTACATTATCCAATACTACCACATTTTCATGACCAACAAGTTGAAGATGAGATTCCATACCTTCTGGTATAGGTACCTACTTACTACAAATGGAATTCTGCATTGAACGAGATAATTTGGATTTGATAATATTGATGAATAGAAGTCATAATTGAAGCAGGAAACATTATCGAACAGGCAATGGAACACATTGTTTTTTTGACACTTCTGTCACATCTCTCAAATGTGCTTTCTTGACTTGATTGCATAGATTGATGACCCATTCCAATAGAAGGCGCCCATTCTGGGTGGTTCTTCTCAAACAGTTCAGCTGGTTTTCTCAAAATATCGTGAATATTTTGGATAAGCTTCAATCCAGTTGACATATTGATTATTTTGAATAACCTGAAATGTAATGATTTGAACATTTTAATTCATTCTTCAGCTAATAGTGTCTGACACATCTGCTCTTCAAAGAATGGATCCAGACAGTTCTTCTCTCCTTGGCCAAACTGTTTTTTCTCATGTGATTGTTATAAGCACTGAGGGTATCTTACGAAATTCTACATTATCTCTGAGTTCATTAAACCATCATTCACAATTTGGAGAAAAAATTTCATCTAAACTGGACTAAGAGGTGAAGGACAAATCAAAACACATACTGATGGCATATACGACCATACATTGTTTACCCTCCAAGCAAATGACCTCGCAGGCTGTGACGTCAGCCGCAGATGCCTAATAGAAGGCTATTATAGGTTATAAACTCTAAAGATTTGCTCCAAACGACTGCTTCGCGCGCGGTCGATCTGAAAAAACGTGATTGGAAGAGCGAATCATTACGACTCTTCATGATTTTTTTTTTTCAAAAAAATCACTTCGAGAAGAATTATGGGCTATGAGGATTCGTTGGTCCGGTGGTGGAGAGACCAGAGGCGCTGAGTTTTAGCTCCAGCTATAACAATAGGCCATGGATGGATGTGTTTACTCGTCTTCATTTAACATGTCGCGGTTGAACGGTATGAGCGCTCTTATTGCAGCGATGATTAAGATAGCTGACACCGTCCATGTGCAATATGATCTCTGAAGACGACTGTACGTATGCATCTTCAGCAAAAGTTTCGACTTATAGTGTGTTGGTTCCAGGGCTAAGAGGGAATGACATTGGAATTTTGATGTTCCATAGGGAACTGTTTTTTTTTTGACTAAAATGTGTACACATGATTATACAGGAATTATACCAGTGCCTCGCCCTGCAAGCGCAACATTTACACTTTTCGGTTGGTCTCAATCCTACTTTCTAGACGGATACATTGATCGACATCTATCAATCTATCCATTATGAAGTGATATTTTGATTATTGATCTACCCAAACATATTTTCAAACAGAGTAGTAGGTACAACAATATTTACCATAATCAATTCCTTAATTGCATTATCCTTCGATCAGGTTTTATAGATGAGAAGACTCGGCCCGTGATATTATTAAATCACATGGCGTTTATAAAACTTCAGAGGAATATGGAATTATCCCGGAACTCATTTCGAAAATTCCACCAACAACTTCTCAACATTCATGGAAGTTCCACTCTCTACCACAGTTAACTCCTCATTTTGAATTTTCATAAGAAAATAATAGGACAAAGTTGTATGGAGGCTGCCAAGATTAGAGACGTGCGGCTTATCCCGCTATCCGCCTCATTATATATTTATTATACATTTCGTATGTTCCTCGTGCTCTTTTGTGTTTTCTTGGTGAAGTTGTGATGAGAAGGTCGAGTACAAGATATCAGCGAATCTGAGAATAACAAAAAACTGTGATGTCTAAATATCACCAACTTCCACCTATATAAGAAAATCATCTCATATCTATCCAGAAAGTTGCTTCACGAAAATCGGCATTTATTTCGTGCTAAAAGCTTGAGTGCGAGGTAGTTTAAAATTATTATTCTTTGCTATTCAATGAGAGTGAGCATGATTTATAGTAGTTATACAGGAAATGTATAGTAATAAAAGAATAAATATCAACAAATCGAAAACAAAAGTGAACCTGATGACCACTTCTGAATCCATAGAGAAGACTATAGAATATTCACAGTATGTTTGTGCTGGATGAAAGGTGCAGTATTGTTGCTGCTTCATTGAACAAAACACTCTCGAGATACCCACTAACACAGTGCATAAAAAACTTATGGTCTAACCCTAACCTGACATTTTGTGCAACTTGAATTTGATGGTTTGGCGATATCAGACCACATACTCATTCGTGGCCAAATATTCGTTGGGTTTCTCAGATGATGTTCAAGACCATTTCAGCTATGAATTTGTAAATGAAAACTCGAAAATATTTCATTAAAAATCGCGAAGAGCTAGTGAATATAGCAATTTGAATAAAATACAAGTACCTAATGAAGTTCCAACAAGAATGCATTGAGGTAAGATAATTTCGTCGGTTCCATCAACGAAACTTTCAGTCTTGTCTTCAACATGTTCAATTGTTCATGACCTGAGATTTTTCACATCAGCAGTGTCAATGAAATGCGTCGAGAAAGGAATTTTTATTCGAATAATGGTAGAATGCTTCTGAATTGAAAAATATTATTTTCACAGAATGAAAACTGAATTTCATAAACAATTCAGTTTCATCTTTCCATTATTGAATTTCAAGGGTTCATTGATGAAAAATATAATATATTGGCTAATGTGTATCAGTATATGATAGTAGATAGTTGTATTGATTCACTATGAATTTTTCTCACCATTATAGTCATATTTACATTTTCAACGAAGAAAATCCCACGCAAAGATTTCTTATTATTTTTATTACTATTATTTCGATTGAAATAAAGAACATGAGGAGATCGTGGGAAGTATACCGAAAACATCAAGATATTCATTACAATATCTGAATGAATGAAAAGAATATCTCATTGAGGTTGAAAGTTTGAATATTGTTGATGGTCTAGAATCATCACTAATAGGTTAGGTTAGCAGGTTCCATGTGAGTGGGGAAATACTGCCCCTGCTCCATTCAAAGAGTTGCCTTGTTATATTCTTCGATGGTCTAGACACGAACGCCTTCGATTGGGTTATTCGTGGTAATTCAGACCGAAACGTTCCTACCGTCCAGTCCGAGATAGTTATTTTGACCGCACTTACGGTGACCTCAAAGTAAGGTGCTGGTCCTATGAACACATATTCGGTTTCTTGTTTGGATTTCAGCTTTCTCGTTGCCCTCTACCCCGTGGTGTTCAGGCACCCACAGCAAAGTTACTTTTTTCTTAGTACCTAGGCATTCTAGGGATTTGATACAGTTTCATACAGTCTTGGAATTTATCTTGCTTGAGGTCAGATCTTTGAAAGAAGCCTTACTTATTGATAAGATACTGATGTTCTTGTTAACCATAGGTCTATTCGTCAACTCTCTCGCACATAATTCAATTGCGAAAACTTCGCATTATTGTCGCATGGAAACTATCATATTGATCTTCGAAATAATATCCTGACAACTCATTGTACTAATATGGTATTGAAACATCGAAGATCAATATCGATATTCAATTCAATCGACTTCTCTACTTATCATTCCCAGATACGCAGAAGGTTCCCCCACATTATGGGCATTCCATTTCGTGTCATACGAGATAGAACTAATCTATGAATATTTCTGTGATGGGCTTATGATGTTTCCATGAACCCAACCACAGCATACACTGTTCTAATAATATGTGGCAATGCATTATTGGAGTATTAGCCTTCAGAAGCCATTTGAAGCTGTGTGTTATACATTCCTTATTAAATCCTACTGAATGAAAATGTTCTACCGTAATCTAATGTCATGTAGTTACTATATAAAAATAGGTGAATAATAAGTATGGTCAGTGTAACATTTGGTATGAGTGATATCGTCAAGTTATAATTTTTCCTTGATTGGTTCTCCTTGAATAAGTGAGGTAAGGCTTCTGAAGTGACTTTGTCCCCACACAATCATAATGAAAATTAAATAAACACTACCTGGTGCGTCTTTCACACTGAGTTTGAAAATAACTTACTCTATCGATAACACAGACTAGATCTATGATACTGCCAATATCTACATGGTGTTCCCCGGACCTCGTCCCTTGGATGGTGGCCTCAGGAACGACTATCTGCAGATTGACAAAATGAGAAAACAGACCCTGGCCGGTCGAAACCTGTAACAAATAGAAAACATTAGATACCGTAGTTCGAACTGAATGATACAGGGTGAGTCATGGAGAACTCTACATACTCATACCACGAATTGAGGCCCTCGAGAGGAATATCTTATGATCATCAAAAAGTCTCCTCCTCTTCTCCACTAATATATAGAGTGAATTATAGGATTTGGCAAAAACATTTTTTGGTCATAACTTTCCAACAGCTTCTCTGATTCGTCTGATTTTTTCATGCAATATACTGCGACTACTGTCTAATCGACTGACTTATCAGAATTGAAAATATCCAGGACCGTTCTTGAAAAATGTTGATAGCTCAGTTCATAACAAAACGTTCACCCTGTGTTTATTGCTTGTAAACATCGAATATCCAACGGTCCCAAACACGCTCCGAACATAAAATATTCCAAATGTCCCTCATACTTTCACTGAATTTCTAAAAAAATTTTACATTCTGAGCAAAAACGAAACATTGACAAAAAATGTATTTATTTCAAAATGAACACTTGGCACATTTCACAAATGAAAGCAGGACTTACATTTTCGATGATTCAGCCCACTGGGAATCAACATTTTTGTCTATTTTTTTTCTCGAATCATGAATAATATCTGGAGATCTGAGAGATCATTGACCCAAAATACACAAGAAATATCAAATTAGCTTCACCATCAGGTTACCTACACTTGAAGATACGAACCGGTCGAAGGAGTCTATGACAGTTTCAATGTTTGAATCTATTTACCTAATGTCAAGTAATGTGCATGCCATAAGATTTCACTGCTTGTGTTCACTTGTTAACTCCGAAATTCTATCAGGTGTCAGTTAACTTTTTCTACTGCACGTGACAAATCGAAAATGCCGAGTAAATTTTCAACAGCAGAATATGGCGATATTATTTTTGTATATGGAACATGTGATGGTGATGATAGAGCAAACTAGGGAATACAAAAGAAGATTTTCCGGGCGTAGAGTTCCTAATCATCAAACGTTCGGACCAGTTTTCAATTATTTGAAAGAAAACAGTTTATTTTCAGAATGTCAGGAAGAAATGTGGCTCTAGTAGAGGAAGGAAAGAACATACTGAATGCTGAATGCGGAAAATCAAGTTTACAATTAGATGTTTCCCAATCAAGAGTGAGTAGAGTTTTACGAAAGAACAGATAACACCCATACCACATCCAACAAGTGCAGAAGCTGCACCCTGGATATGGAATACAACATTTGAACTTTGCAACATGGATTGCTTATAATGATCTCTTATTGTATAGAACTTGGTTCAGTGACGAAGAACAGTTTACAAGAGATGGAATAAATAATTCACGAAACTCACATATTTGGACCGGAGGAAACCCTCAGCTCATTGCGAATTTCGCTCGCAGTACAGGTTTTCTGTGAATGAATGGATTGCAGTAGTGGATGACCAGCTGATAGGTCCTCATTTTTTCTGACGGTCCATTAACAGGAGCAGTTATCTTGAATTTTCTAGTGAACTTTGAATATTTTGCTTTTGGGTGTATGATAAATTGACATTCATCATACAGGGCGTGGAAATGAATTCTGAATTGAGACTCTATCACGAATCTGCGATTAGAGGTCTATAAAAATCACAAGTTTCCATCGTTCAAGTTTGAACCCCCTGATTGGGTATGAAAATGTTGAAAAGGAATATTCTCAGATAAATTATGAACATACAAAAATGGATATATATTTATATAAAGCAATACATTGAGAATTCGCATTCTCTATGTGATGAGAATATTTACTCTTTTTCAGTTAATTCAATAGAAAACAACTACTTTCAATGCTGAATATATTGGTAAGTCATATTTCTAGATCATTATTCATCATATTATTCATCCGATTTGAAGAAGAATGTCAATTCTCAATTTCGGAGGATTTTATTCTTTATTTTTCATGTTCCCCTTTTGAATGTTCATCAGATATAATTCAATGTTCGACGTGGCAAATAGCCAGGAAAGTAGTTGTTTTCTGTTGAATATTCAGAATGATGTGTGTATATACATATTTTTGTCTGAAGGAGAATGCAAATTCTCAATTTCGGAAATTTTTATATTTTATTTTCAAACTCTTATCGTGTGTGTTCAATAGATATAATTCAATGTTCGTCGTGGCATATAGCCAGGAAAGTAGTTGTTTTCTATTGAATTAACTGAAAAAGAGTAAATATTCTCATCACATAGAGAATGCGAATTCTCAATGTATTGCTTTATATAAATATATATCCATTTTTGTATGTTCATAATTTATCTGAGAATATTCCTTTTGAATATTTTGCCCAATGAGCTAGTCAACGTAGCTATCGGAGAAATGTATATAGTGCATCATCTCATTTTTTGGTGGCTCTACGCCAACACCTGCATGCCACCTATGATTCCATGGCTACCGAGATCTCCTGACTTCAACATCATTGACTTCTTAATCTGGGGTCAATTGAACAAAATGGTCTATGTCGAAAATCTCAACACACGGCGAGAACTAATTGAAAGAATTATCCATTGCTGCAACATTATTAGAAATGATCCCATAACAATCAGGAAGATTCACGCATTCGACAGTCCGGCGAGAAAAGTGTATAAAGGGAGGGATATTCCATTCAAAAAATGTTTTATGATTATTATTTCACACTGTACTGTACACTGAAAAAGAAATTGAGTGAAATTTCACTCAAGGTCCACGCAATTCCGACCACCGATTCAATCAAATTTGTTATAAACATTCTCATTGATATGAAAACTTAATGAAATATCTAGTTTGAGTTGAGAATTCACTCAAAAATTTCAATCAGTAAATTCACTCACAATCACAAATCCATTCACTCAGAAGAATTTTCTACAGTGTACCTTTTAGATTTGTTTCATAATAATAGCTGCAATCGTTTGTCTGATTCGTTATATACTTATAGCTATAGTCCATATCTGTATATGTAATATTTAAATATGTAGAGTACTGTATATATGTGTGCCGCTATTACCGTTAGTACTTATGGAAGTGCTACCTATTTTAATGTAACTATGAAAATGTAACCATATTTATTGTCAAATTCATTACTATCAACTACTTTTCTTTGTGCATAACCAACTGGTTTACTCAGGTACTACTCCACATGCACACACAGATGTTCAATCATCTAGGTGCATTTATGTAATTTTTTTTTTATTATACTCAACTGTTTTATGTCTGTACTAATCTGTTATGTGCAAAACTTTAATGTCAATAAATTTCAGTTTCAAGAAAAAAAAAAGTTATTTTGGTCACTTGTTCTCCGTACAGAATTATTCTTTCTTTGTTAGTATAGCTTTTGTAAAATTGTGAATGAACCTCCATTATCTATTCGATTATCTAGAATTATTCAGATCAATGGCAATTCACATCCATATAGATACTTCATCCAGTGATTCGAAAAAGATCCACTGGATGATTTTTAGCTTCCAGGTCGTGGGTTCGATTCCCGTCGACTGCAGAATTTTTTCTGATGGCCCAAGAAAGTGGTTGGGATTACACGTTAGAAGGTAAGGCCCCCGTCATTCCTCGCTCGCACAAGACTCTCGAAGACTTCTGAGGGTTGTTCGTAAGGGGACAACCGAATGACGGATAGAACAACAACAACAACAACAACAATAACAACAACAACAACGAAATCCAGGCCTGGATATAAAGGAACATTGTTGATTTCCTTCAAGCTATAACATTGAATATGTGAGTCTTGCATTGCATTTATTTGTGGAATTTATGCACTGCCAAGTATTCATTTTCAAATGAATATTGGATTGGATGGATTTCTGAGGCCATTGTAATTTACAGTTACTGAATACAATATTTGCACTTCAGAAGAGGTCATTGAGATATGTTACAAAGTCTAAATCGAGAGATCACTGCAAGCCTCTATTCATCAATCATAAAATATTAACTGTCACCTGTCTATACATAATGGAAACAATATGCTTAATTCACAAAAATGAAACTAGCATGTACGACACTCCTAGAACAAATTGTCACAATACCAGTTTGGATCATATGCTTTATTTACCTATTCCTAAATTTGCTTTGACAAAACATTCTCTGATATATGAAGGTATCAAAGTATACAATCATCTCCCAAACATTTCGAAGTTCAGTTGAAGATCTTTCAATCGAAAAAGCATATTATTCGATCTATGAATTCTACTGTGATAACCTGTGAATTATTATTACTTGAATTTTAAATATTTTCCTAAACGCAATGTTCATTAATGTTTGGTTTGTGAAATTTTGTTGTTTTTTGTTATTTTTTGTTTGTATTCATTATATTCTTTGACTTGTATTTATTATATGTAAATCTCATGCTTTGTCAACAAGATATATTATCTTTGACAATAAAGTATAATTTGACTTGACTTGATTTTAATTTTTCATCAACTAATAGTGTTCGAAAACAACTGAACGGTTGTGTTTAAATATTTGTTTGAAGATAATAGTTCAACAAATGAAAAAAGAGAACTTTCGAAATATGGTAATAGCCATAACTGAAATGCAAATATGGAAACGACTTCATAAGCTCCGTTGAGCTTCCACAATAAGTCAGAGACAAAGTTCCAGTTTGCCAAACTCCGGTGCATCCTCTTTGAAACAAGAACAAGTTTTCAGAGCTCGTAACACCGTGATTCAACAAAGAGTGAATACACAGTGTTTAATACTCTTGGATGTATAGAACAACATCTCACTAGCACTTACATAATGTGTTTAATGAAAAACAGTTGCCTACTGCACTCGGAGAAGTGAATATTATCATACGCATTAATGGAAACAGTGGTAGCTCAAACATAATTGAGAATTATATATGAAATTATTAGAAATGTAGCTAATTCGGAACGAGAGCAACTTCGGAGGTTCGTTGAGTTTGTTAAGACTCATCTTCAAGGTTACGTAGGTATTTTTTTTTATTAACAAACATGCGCGTCAACCATTGTGGTTATTATAGCGCAGGACAAAATAACAG